CACCTTCACTTATAATGTATTCTTATTCAAATAATTATTATATATCATTATCCATATGACAACTTATGATAATGTCGATTTTTGTTCCATTGAAATTTTATTATATGTAATAAATAAATTCTTTGATTTTTAAATATTAGTAAATTTGATCTTACAAAACATTTTGCCTGTTTGATAGTGTGAAATATACTGCTATTTTGATTATGTTTAGCTTATCGATATAAAAAGTCAGAGAATAATTAGATAAACAAAAGCATTAGTTTTTCTTTCTAATAACTTATTGACAAATGTCCTGTATTCTGCCATTGTAGAAAAAAACCTTATGGTATATTGTATCTCAATCTATCACGTATATTATCAATTACTGAGCGACAGAGATTGATATGTTATTCGTCATAGTTATTTTTTCTTTCTCTAAGATCTTTTCTTATTTATTAAATTTGAATTATAAATAAAAGAAAAGAAAAATAAGGATATGATTTAGAATAATAAAACAAGTATAATTATTTAAATATAAACGTCATTAGAAGTTACAATCATAAACGAAAGATAACTCTTACAAAAATTCTGAATGTTTTTCATGTGACATATAATTTCGTTAATCATATAAATTTCTTATGGAATACTATTACAATTCTCATAGATGTTCCCTGACATTTCCAAAAAAACAAATCAGTATTTTGCTCAAAATCATGCTTATATATATCTACTAAATAAATTATCTCGATTATGAACGTTAATAAATAAATAAAAGATTATATTATATTATTTCGTTTAAAATACAACATTCAATAATTAATACAAATATTCTTCTTTTTTTGAATCAAAAACTTAGTTATGAATATCGTTTTTTTCCTGTATAATAATATTCTTCATATATTTTTGTAGTTTTATTAAATATGAATTTTCTTGTGTATATAATTAATAATATGAAATTGAAATCATCATTCATAGTGTAACTAATAGAGGAATTAGATATTATTTTTTTCGCAAAAAAATACTTTGCTTTCCTCATAGTCATTCAAACTCGTTCTATGATTGGCTTCATAGATAAAACTATCTTATTAAATCAGGAATCAACGTGTGCAAATAATATTGCATGTTCAACAATATTGGAATGAAATGAACAATCAATCATCTATCTCCCAATAAAATAAATATTCACTATCATGCGAAAAATAGGCTGTTCAATTGATATAGAAAAAATAATCTCTAGTTTTCTTATTACTACAAGTTCGATCTTTCACTATTTTTTTGTAATCATATGATTATATTTATTTTGCACCGAATATATACATATATTTGTTCAGAAGGTAACTAATTCTAGGTTAATATTACTAAATCATATAATATATATCCTATAGAAATCAACTAGTAGATGTAATTGATAGAATTTAATAGATTAAAAATTGACTCGTAAACTATGAAAAATATTTATAACTGAATGTAATGATCCGTAACGGTATATTAATATTATATTATTTAAATTTTTCCTTCCGTACACTATTTTTTTCTCTAGAACAAATTTGTCTAGTTTTTGAGTATATGCGTAAAGACACAGATTGCCGCTAGGCCTCGCGTTAGTAATGCTAGTCTAAGATGCGAGACAAAGAGAGGGAGAGAGAGAGAGGAAGAAACAATTGTTTGAGACACAAAGCAAAGAACAAGTCGCATTTTACGATCAATTGTTCAAAAGTATCTACTCATCTTTTCCGTCGATGTAGCTGTCATGATTACTACATACCATACTCACACATAAAGATAGTTAAAGGAAAAAAAAAAAGGGAAAAGAAAAAGAATAAAAATAGAGCTAGCGAAAGATAAAAAAATGCAATTTTTCTTATATGTAGTACCATTAGTAAAGAGAAAAAGCTAGGGAAGATGATCCGATCGTAAGTTTACATCGCATCGTGAACGATCGAAATAGAACGCTCGTACCCGCGCGCAAAGAGGAATACTAATAAAATATTTCTCTAGTTCTTTCTTTTTGAGTCTAAGTATGGATGCATCTCTCTCTTTTTTTGTGTATGGTGTATTAGCTCAAGGACTATGATAGTAAAGAAACGAGGGACTTCAAACGCGAGGCGGGACCAGTATGTGTGTTGTGTATGCTCAGTAGTCATAAATAATAATTCGAACAAAAAGAACAAGGGAGAGAGAGAAAGTGATTATTGCGTGCCAACATCTTCCTTATGAAGAATCTATTGGAAAAATTCAACAACAATAGTTATCTTCGTTTTTTTTGAAAAAAAATATTTTAATATTATTTATACCTTCGATATATAAAATGAATACATATATATATATATTTACTTTTTAGATGATTTCACACATCATCATCTTTGTCCCTATTGTGTTGTATTACATTTAACGTTTTAACAATTCATCTTTCGATTACATCGAATAATCAATAACAAACAACACAAGTCCCTTTCCCAATTGCGCAGTGACGGCGTATGGATGGGTAATTTTCATCATAAGGCACTAATGGTCTCTGCTTCGGTCAGTGCCTATACTGCGCCTTCACTTATGGCTGTTTGTCTTCTTACTGATTACTGGATATATGGAAAACAAACACGATTATCATCAACTACAATAACAAAAGCAGGCGATATGCGAGTTTTAAATTTTACGTATCATCGAATTGGTCTTTGGCGCGAATGTATGAAGGAAGTTTATAGTAAATAATCTAAATTAGAAATTATTGTGTTTTTTTTACTTATAAATTTGAAATTATATTTAGATGCTTCATATAATTGTGATGTTGTTAGGTATTCTAAAGCTGAAGCAAAAATGGAAAAAGGTTTTAAAGCTGTATCATGTAAGATTATATTTTTTAGTTTTTATAAAATATATATATAATTTAATGTTTTAATCAGATCGATCAGCACCAAGTATGGCCTGTTTTACAGCTGCGTCTGCTCTTTTAGTCATTGCTATATTTTTATTTTCACGTGGTCTTTGCAAACGACGTCGAAAAGCTGTTTTCTTTATCTCAGGACTTTTATTTTCTATCTCAGGTTCATTTCAAAAATATATATATATGCCAGTATTTTTTTTTGAAAATCTATTTTTTCATTCATTTAGGCTTGCTCACGATGGTTGGTGTTACATTATACGTTTCAATTACAACTGAAGAATCGGTTAAAATCGATCAAGATTATCCGGTGATGCAATGTTTCTATGGATTTTCATTTCTTTGTGCTGTTTTATCATTTGTTCTACAAGAATTAACTGGTGTTTTAACTGTATATTGGTTTATATATCGTTTTCGTGCACTTGTACGTAAACAAGAAAAATTACGCGAACGTACTCGGCGATTGATGGGAACTTGTTTATCAATGACAACAGCTTTAACATTAAACCCTGTTTCATTTGATGCAAATAATAATAATAATAATAGAAAACCAATGGCTAGTCGTTCGAATAACCAAATAAATCAATTAAATTATTCGAATTCCAATGATCCTCGTTATCAATATATGAATAGTGATACACCAAATTCTTTAGTACATAAACAACAAACACGACGTCTACCATTTGATAAATCTACACCATCATTATATAAATATGTTGATAAAACTTCTTCTCCATCATTTCCACCACGATCACCGACACTTCTCTATGGAGATTATTGTCGTGTTTTGATTCGTGCTGAAGATATGGATTTACTAACAAAAATGGTTAAATCGAGATCCCAAGCACATTTAATAGCTAATTCAAGACCTACAACACCAGCAACAACAATGTCAAATGTCAAAATTTTACGTAATTCGCATACACAACGACAAATAACTGAGAATACAACGAGGCGAAGCACTCGAAAAGGCGTTAAGCGGACTACATCTGTTTAAAATCTCGAAAGTTTTCCTTTTTCTTCTTCTTCTTCTTTTTTTGTGTCTTATAAGTTCAGATAGATGAATTCTTATTTCTGTGTGATGCGAAAACAAATTATTATTATTAGCAAAACAAAAAAAGAACTTTTTTTTTTCTCCTTTTTCTTTTTTTTTCTATTTGTTATTCTCTATTTCGTGACTAATATTTATATTTCATTGAAAAAAAAAACTCTAGAAAAATATATGAGAATTTATATACATTTGTTTATTTGGATTCTTTTTTGATGATCACCAGATTCAAGGACTATATGATGTCATTTGAAGGCTTTTATATTATTAGTTCTTGATTGATTAGAATATAAGTGATAGAAAAACAATTGATCACTTATTGGAATAATGATATATGACAGAGTATTTGTGGAGTCATTTTTCTTCTCATTTTTTTTCTATTTCAAATATACTTACATATGTATATTTACTTTTTGCTTTCTGACATTTTCATTATATGATTCATTTGATATTAGTAACTCAAAAAACGTGCCAATTGTATTAAAGATCATAAAACCACTGTTAACTATCTGTTTATGATAGTCACATTCTTCTCTCTCTCTCTGGGTTTCTCATATATACAGGAGTAAATCTGGGTAAACACTTGAAAAAAAAACAATTTTCTTGTTGTTATTATTCCTATTCAGTTGACAATATTCTACCTGTAATTCAAACTATTGCTTTCATTTTACTCGTTTCTACATGAATTTATATCGTTTCATACTATAAGAGTTTGATGGTTGACATGATTTTATTTTATTTTTTATTACATATATAGAAACATGAATATATACTTGTACACATTTTCTTTATATGGAGTATTATTTCTTATAAAGAACATTTACAGTCGGTGTGTAGAACTATAGAAATAAAATCTTTTTTTTTTCAAAATACATATATACACCGAGTGAGTATAATAACATATATATCGAAAGAGACACACAAAATATGGTTGAATCGATCGAGGGAATAAATAAAAAAGAAATGACGGAGGGAGAAAGTGTTTAATCAAGGCTTCTATATGTACATTATTTGTTGTTGATTTACTTTCTCGTTTTTTTAGATTTCTCTTTTCATACTATGGCATATACCGGAACGAATTCCACGTATCAAACAATGACTTCTAATAACTCAAAAGGCAATAATCAACAAGAAGAACATATTTATGAAGAACAACCATATTATTCGAATGAACGATCTATGTTGTCAAGACAAAGTATTGTTGGACCTTATCAACGAACTAGTGAGGTTTGTTAAATTTTATTTATAAATATTCTTACGATTGACTGTTAGTTTAACTTTAAAAACAATTTCTAGAATTGATTAACATAAATTATGTTTTTCTTCTCTTTTTTTTATAGAATAAGTGTTAATAATAAAAAAGTAACATAGATATAAGTTATTCATTTTCATCATAAAAACTTAGATCTTAATTTTTCAGTTTTTTTTCTCTTCATATACAATAAAAATAACTTGTCTAGATTGTCTCAATAAATATCTGTTTATATCCATAAAACTTGTATATGTTATCAAAATAGTTGCTTGTCTTTTATATTCTATTGACATAAATACTTTGTTTTATGATTTTGTCTGTTAGAGATTATTTCATTATCTAATCTTAATTGCTGTCATATATATATTTACCAATAAATGAATAACATTTGTAATATATATTTGAAATTTATCGAGTAGAAAAAGAAAACCTATGAATAGTTCATCATTGATTAAGATAGATATTTATATCTGATGTAAAATAACAAAGATTAGATATTTCTATACATATTTTGTTTTAATATTTGACACTTAGACAACATCTAAAAGCAAATAAGTTATTCGTAATTCAAATACATAGATCAACTACTGATCATCATACGGATATTTGATATCATCTATCATTAACAACGTATTGTTCATTTATTCGTTTTCGTTTGTCAATTGTAATATACAGAAATATCTTCTTTTTTCTATGAACTATATTTATACGTAAAGAAAAGATTTTCTTTTCTTATTATGAAATCTATCTAGACAGAAATAGTTAGATCTTATCATAATGTATTTTGTTCTTTTTTTATTTTATTTTGATATCTTTAAATGACTAATGATAAGACCTCTGTAATAATAACATCGACAGACATATATAAACGAAACGAAAAAAATATTGAGTGACCGCAAGTCTATAGACAAACGATAGTACGTAGTAAATCTAAAACAGAACGAACGACAATAAATAGGTGACCACAATATATATACGAGAGAATTTTCATCTTATCAAACATCGCATGGGTGTATGAGAACGAAAGAGATGCAATATCGTCACAAAGATTTAGCGTGTCTCTTCTCCTTGCATTCATTGCGCTCCTACTCGTTTCTTTTCTTCCTCTCTCTCCCTCTCTCCCCTCCTTCGTGTGTGTGTGTGGTAGCTTCAACACGCTTATATGTTCTATTTGTATGCGAGCCAAGCATAGTTGTTCTCTTTGTCTCTATACCTTATCATATTTTGTCGACACGTCGTTCGCTCATTTTTTCCTCTCGTTCTATTCTACAATTACTATTACCACCACTAGCTCTATCGTTCGCTTGCTCGTCCGATAGCACTTTGAAAAAAAAAAGGACAAAGAAAAAGAGAAAAGATAAACTCAAATAGACAGAAAAAAAAGAAAGACACATCGTTCTATATTCTTCTCTTTCTCTCATACATTATAACGAAGAAGTAAAGATAGAGTCAACGTGTATGTCTATGTCACTGTGAGTTATCGACTAATACAATGCGATTGTTATCCTAATCATTACTCCTGTCATTATAATAATTATTGTTTTGCATTGTTTCGTTTTGTTTAAAAGAAAAATTTATTGAAATATGGAAGACGAACAAGATCAAGTTAGTATTTATTAAATCACTATGTCGCTTTGTTGTTTTCTTTTTTTCCCATAAGATAAAACAAAACAATTTCACCATAAAAAGATTTCTTATACTTCTATATTAATGTCTGTAAAAGAAAAGAAAAACAAATACTAGACTTTATTTAGC